ATCCATCGACTCGATCCGAGGTAAACTACAGTCGTCGGGTCTTCTACGGAACGCGTGCTCACGTTTGACACCAACATCGCGTCTCGGAAACGAAAATTCAGCCTCGGAGGGCCGAACACAGGTTCGGAAATTAGAATTGGCCGCCATGACCATGCCCACGGTGAAAGCGTCGTAGCTTCGCGAAAGCTTTTATTTCACACGTTCAAAGTGGTGTCCATAGAGTCTAGAAAGAACAAGGAACACATCGGTGCCAGCGGTGATGAGATACGACCAGTATTAATGAAGGGAGATCAACGAGAATGCTTCCCTTAATAAATAGTTCAAAATAAAATTGAGTGCCTCCTGGCGGAGGGCAGACACACTAGCCGAGGCGAGTGGTGTGTCTGCCCTCCACCAGGCAGCGCGATCCACCTTCCCGACGTTTTTGTGGCTAGGTGGCGTAAGCTACCGCCGGATCCAAAGGGCTCAGCCGTATTTATCTATCCATCCATCCGCCGTTACCAAGTTGCGCGCGCACACGCTTCTTAGTAACCCGTGGCAACGGTTACTTTTTTTTCCTTCTCTTTGTTTGTCCCCCCGGTTTCTTTCTTTGGCCCGCTAATTGCTCGTTTGTTCTTTTGTCTTTCTCTTTGTTTCTTTCTCTCTCCTCCTCGCTCATCCTCCTCCGCTTTCCTTTGTTCCGAGAGGCCGGCCCCAGTGTGGTTTCGGTTGTGCTTCGGAGCAGTCGCGTAGTCACCCGTGTCCAGCTCCTGCTTTGTTCTTTGTTCCGAAATCGGTCTTCTTCTTCTTCGGACCCCGAACGTCGCCTCACGGTTCCTGCGTTCGTCAAAGGGCCTCCTTTCGTTCGACACATTGGGGTAAGTGTACGTCCATTATACTATCCTTTAATTCGAGTTTTTTATTCCGATTATTTGCCAAAAGAAAGTGGTTTAGGTTTTTCAGCAAAAAAAGAATAATAATTCCGTTTAAATTCAAAATAATTTGTACGCCTATTGGACAATTTCTTTAGCTTTCGGAAAGTGCTCAAAGTGTCAGTCTATAAATGCGAATAAATAATAGCTCCCCACTGCTGCTCCAGAAACGAAGTATATTTTTTCTGCAACTGTTCTTTCCTCCGTGCGACGTCGTGTGTTGCCGTCCCCACGTCGCTGCAGATATGGCGCTTTCTAAACTGAAACGCGTCGACATTCCTGCTCTTGTTTAAATCATACGCTGCTATAAAAATCCCTCTCTAACTCAAAGACTGCTTGGCCGTGAGGGAAAGCGCGCCCTTGAGTATTAATTAGGCGCGTACAGAAGCTTATTTAATCGCAAACTAAGGCGCTAATTGTTCCCTACCTCTCGTCCGAAGCAGGGACTTGTAGCACGAATTGGTGATTTTTTGTGATTTTTTGAAGGAGCAGGGGAGGCACGTTTAGAGCGAAATTCATGCATTGGCCGTGTGGGAAAGCGCGACTTTGAGTATTAATTAGGCGCGTACAGAAGCTTATTTAATCGTAAAATAAGGCGCTAATTGTTCGCTAACTCTCGCCCGAAGCAGGGACTTGTAGCACGAATTGGTGATTTTTTGTGATTTTTTGAAGCAGCAGGGGAGGCACGTTTAGAGCGAAATTCATGCATTGGCCGTGTGGGAAAGCGCGACTTTGAGTATTAATTAGGCGCGTACAGAAGCTTATTTAATCGCAAACTAAGGCGCTAATTGTTCCCTACCTCTCGCCCGAAGCAGGGACTTGTAGCACGAATTGGTGATTTTTTGTGATTTTTTGAAGGAGCAGGGGAGGCACGTTTAGAGCGAAATTCATGCATTGGCCGTGTGGGAAAGCGCGACTTTGAGTATTAATTAGGCGCGTGCAGAAGCTTATTTAATCGTAAAATAAGGCGCTAATTGTTCGCTAACTCTCGCCCGAAGCAGGGACTTGTAGCACGAATTGGTGATTTTTTGTGATTTTTTGAAGCAGCAGGGGAGGCACGTTTAGAGCGAAATTCATGCATTGGCCGTGTGGGAAAGCGCGACTTTGAGTATTAATTAGGCGCGTGCAGAAGCTTATTTAATCGTAAAATAAGGCGCTAATTGTTCGCTAACTCTCGCCCGAAGCAGGGACTTGTAGCACGAATTGGTGATTTTTTGAAGCAGCAGGGGAGGCACGTTTAGAGCGAAATTCATGCATTGGCCGTGTGGGAAAGCGCGACTTTGAGTATTAATTAGGCGCGTGCAGAAGCTTATTTAATCGTAAAATAAGGCGCTAATTGTTCGCTAACTCTCGCCCGAAGCAGGGACTTGTAGCACGAATTGGTGATTTTTTGTGATTTTTTGAAGGAGCAGGGGAGGCACGTTTAGAGCGAAATTCATGCATTGCCCGTGTGGGAAAGCGCGACTTTGAGTATTAATTAGGCGCGTGCAGAAGCTTATTTAATCGTAAAATAAGGCGCTAATTGTTCGCTAACTCTCGCCCGAAGCAGGGACTTGTAGCACGAATTGGTGATTTTTTGTGATTTTTTGAAGGAGCAGGGGAGGCACGTTTAGAGCGAAATTCATGCATTGGCCGTGTGGGAAAGCGCGACTTTGAGTATTAATTAGGCGCGTGCAGAAGCTTATTTAATCGTAAAATAAGGCGCTAATTGTTCGCTAACTCTCGCCCGAAGCAGGGACTTGTAGCACGAATTGGTGATTTTTTGTGATTTTTTGAAGCAGCAGGGGAGGCACGTTTAGAGCGAAATTCATGCATTGGCCGTGTGGGAAAGCGCGACTTTGAGTATTAATTAGGCGCGTGCAGAAGCTTATTTAATCGTAAAATAAGGCGCTAATTGTTCGCTAACTCTCGCCCGAAGCAGGGACTTGTAGCACGAATTGGTGATTTTTTGAAGCAGCAGGGGAGGCACGTTTAGAGCGAAATTCATGCATTGGCCGTGTGGGAAAGCGCAACTTTGAGTATTAATTAGGCGCGTGCAGAAGCTTATTTAATCGTAAAATAAGGCGCTAATTGTTCGCTAACTCTCGCCCGAAGCAGGGACTTGTAGCACGAATTGGTGATTTTTTGTGATTTTTTGAAGGAGCAGGGGAGGCACGTTTAGAGCGAAATTCATGCATTGCCCGTGTGGGAAAGCGCGACTTTGAGTATTAATTAGGCGCGTGCAGAAGCTTATTTAATCGTAAAATAAGGCGCTAATTGTTCGCTAACTCTCGCCCGAAGCAGGGACTTGTAGCACGAATTGGTGATTTTTTGTGATTTTTTGAAGCAGCAGGGGAGGCACGTTTAGAGCGAAATTCATGCATTGGCCGTGTGGGAAAGCGCGACTTTGAGTATTAATTAGGCGCGTACAGAAGCTTATTTAATCGTAAAATAAGGCGCTAATTGTTCGCTAACTCTCGCCCGAAGCAGGGACTTGTAGCATGAATTGGTGATTTTTTGTGATTTTTTGAAGCAGCAGGGGAGGCACGTTTAGAGCGAAATTCATGCATTGGCCGTGTGGGAAAGCGCGACTTTGAGTATTAATTATGCGCGTGCAGAAGCTTATTTAATCGTAAAATAAGGCGCTAATTGTTCGCTAACTCTCGCCCGAAGCAGGGACTTGTAGCACGAATTGGTGATTTTTTGTGATTTTTTGAAGCAGCAGGGGAGGCACGTTTAGAGCGAAATTCATGCATTGGCCGTGTGGGAAAGCGCGACTTTGAGTATTAATTAGGCGCGTGCAGAAGCTTATTTAATCGTAAAATAAGGCGCTAATTGTTCGCTAACTCTCGCCCGAAGCAGGGACTTGTAGCGCAAATTGGTGATTTTTTGTGATTTTTTGAAGGAGCAGGGGAGGCACGTTTAGAGCGAAATTCATGCATTGGCCGTGTGGGAAAGCGCGACTTTGAGTATTAATTAGGCGCGTACAGAAGCTTATTTAATCGTAAAATAAGGCGCTAATTGTTCGCTAACTCTCGCCCGAAGCAGGGACTTGTAGCACGAATTGGTGATTTTTTGTGATTTTTTGAAGCAGCAGGGGAGGCACGTTTAGAGCGAAATTCATGCATTGGCCGTGTGGGAAAGCGCGACTTTGAGTATTAATTAGGCGCGTGCAGAAGCTTATTTAATCGTAAAATAAGGCGCTAATTGTTCGCTAACTCTCGCCCGAAGCAGGGACTTGTAGCACGAATTGGTGATTTTTTGTGATTTTTTGAAGCAGCAGGGGAGGCACGTTTAGAGCGAAATTCATGCATTGGCCGTGTGGGAAAGCGCGACTTTGAGTATTAATTAGGCGCGTGCAGAAGCTTATTTAATCGTAAAATAAGGCGCTAATTGTTCGCTAACTCTCGCCCGAAGCAGGGACTTGTAGCACGAATTGGTGATTTTTTGTGATTTTTTGAAGGAGCAGGGGAGGCACGTTTAGAGCGAAATTCATGCATTGGCCGTGTGGGAAAGCGCGACTTTGAGTATTAATTAGGCGCGTGCAGAAGCTTATTTAATCGTAAAATAAGGCGCTAATTGTTCGCTAACTCTCGCCCGAAGCAGGGACTTGTAGCACGAATTGGTGATTTTTTGTGATTTTTTGAAGGAGCAGGGGAGGCACGTTTAGAGCGAAATTCATGCATTGGCCGTGTGGGAAAGCGCGACTTTGAGTATTAATTAGGCGCGTGCAGAAGCTTATTTAATCGCAAACTAAGGCTCTTAATGTTCGCTACCTCTCGTCCGAGGCACGCACTTCTAGCACGAATTGGTGATTTTTTAGGATTTTTTGAAGGAACGTTGTCTAACCTGGAAGGCAGATAGTAAACAAACGGGCGCGACGGGATTTCTAGATCGAATTAAACGCACATAGCAGTTATTCATTCGTTGTTCCACGCAAGAAATGCGTGTACATGACGCTGGGAATAAGAGAAATTTTAGAAGCGAATACTTTTTTTTTTAATCAATATTTGTTACGCGAAGAAGAGATTTCGAAGCGCGGCCGAGCGCTTTATAGTCCGGACTCCTATTCAAACCACGAGAGAGAGAGATAGAAGCATTCTCAAATACCTTTCCTTGCATGGTGTCTAGCGGTCCAGATGTTATCCAAAGTCCAGAGTAATCCAAAGTTCACCAGGAAAGTGCACACACACACACACGTTCACGGAAGCGTCCACGTTGAGACGGGGCACGGCCGTTTTGAAATCACCCGAGACTGGGGTAGAAGCATCAAATCGTAGAAGGGACAGAAAATAGACATTTTCTGTCCCTTCTACTATTTCAAGCTTCTTCTCTACCCCAGTCTCGGGCTATTTCAACGTTGTTAACATTCACCAGCTCGCCCGCGCACCCTCTTCTCTTGACTCGCAACGAAGCGCACACACAGACGTGGATTTGGGCGGCCGTTTGTGAAGTTGGGCGACTGAGGTAGGGACTAGCGGCAGAGAGAGGATTTCTGGAATAGAAAAGAAAAGTGTTGTCATTTCAACAAAGGGTACAATAGATATTTTTGTTTTTAGATTCGGTCGGTTTTAATTAAAGAGTTGTAATTCTAGGCTCTAGTTGAAAAAGGTCGACACAGAACGTAATAGCACCCTGGGTACCGTTACGACGTGCGTCGACATTTTTGCGCGGGTTTTGACCGTTAGGGGTTTGGAGAAGGTATCATCATCATGATCCAGGGTTTCGGTTTGGGTTCTGTGTGTTTTCTCACTCCAGGTCACGTGATGTTTTTGTCGGAGCAAGGATGAGTCACCCTCGCCTCAACGGCGCCTGGCTGTTGCTGTGCGTGTTCTGTCTGGGCCCGGGCTCACTTTCAGAAGGAGCCGAGAACGGAAGAAGGTCGGATTACCGTAACTCGAGAAGGTATTTGCTCATTTCCTTGTTCTTTGCCCAAAGTCGTTGTTTGTGTGAGCGCGTGCGTTTTGCGAGGAGATTATGTTGTGCTCGGCGGTTGGTAGATGGAAATGTTGTTCTCGGAGAGATTCTGCACGCTTTTTCGAGTGTCGGCAAAGAAGGCTTTTAATGGGATCTACTATATTGATATAGGCGCACATAGGCGGAGCGGCTGGTCGTTTTTTTGAAGGCTCTTTACCAGAGCGCGAGCAAGAATTACCTATGCGTGTTTGATGCAAGTTCTTTTTTTGATAGGTCCATGCTCGGCAAAGATATAAAGTGTATTTTGAAGCGCGTATTCCATCGCGAAATGATGGAATACCAGTGATGTGATAATTGCGCCAAACTGCACCAAGGGGCTAACCTTGCTACATCCTGCTACATTTCACCGAAATATGGCTAATCTGCGCCAAAGAAGCAATTTTGGTCGCCTTTCAATAACGAAACTAAACTGAGAACCGTAATTGTGTAAGCTAGGTCGCACAAGACGCCACCCGACACAAAGTACCCTGTATCAATCGTCTATTTGGTCTTGCATGATTTTTCCCGACGTCTCGCGTTTCGTGTACTCGTCGTCTCAAAAATCTCGTCTCTAGTGTATCGGATGCCAAACATGCCGTCATGCTGTGAAACAAAACCACGTTTTTGCGCGGCGGGAGTTACTTTTTGAGCTTCGTGCGACGTCGTGTGTTGCCGTCCCCACGTCGCTGCAGATATTTCTAAACTGAAACGCGTCGACATTCTTGTTTAAATCATACGCTGCTATAAAAATCCCTCTCTAACTCAATGACTGCTTGGCCAAGTTTTGATTACTTAGGTTTTCCTGGTGGGCTTTCTTTCGAGGGGGACCCCGGTACGTGAAAAATGTGCCGCGAAAGAAAGTTGGTGAAGAGAAGTGAGCTAAAGCAAAGAAGGCAATGTCTGAACCCGCACAGCGTGCATGGGCGACCGTTGGAGCCGACTTCTTGCACGAATTCTTTTGTTCTTTTCACGCGAAACACGGAATCGAGTTTTTTTCCCCTCATTCCTGCTTGTAGGTTTCACTGACGATGTTTCCCGGATGGGAGACGAAACGTTTGATTAAATTGTTAATCTTGTTGAGTAAAGTCGGAGCAGTTTTTTTTTTATCAAACACGGAATTGGCGGCGGCGCGGAGCTAGGAAGCCGGCCTCTACGAACTCAAACGTTTCATCACTCTCTGACGCACGGAAGAAAAGAAAAAAAGATATGTGTATGGCGTAAGAACGTTCGGTGCATCTTTAATGTAGGGCGCTAAAGATTGTCTTTTTGTGCAGCGCAAGAGCGAGTTGCACGGCTGGCCCTCCGTTTCAAGTGACCTCCCTCAGCTGCGGATGACCTGTGCTTAATCAAGACCGCTTGAATGGCAACTGAGAACTTGCTCCAAGCAAAAAGTGTTTTTATGAAATCGTGTTAGCTCGTGCGAATTCACTGAATAGGAACAAGTGTGTTTTCATCGAGACAGCTCGTCCGGAAACTTGCATTGTCGGCCTAATAAAGTTTGACGTCAAGCCTAATAAAACGTGAGGTTAAAACGGAGAAATCTGTTGTTTTGTATTTTGCTTGTGAGGACGAAGCCCCTGCTGTGCACACCTGCGGAAACGAAGTAAGTACCTTATCAGTTTGTTCAGAGATTTGATTTTTTCCCGTGGTAATCGTGAAAAAAAAAAAGAGCGAGGACATAAATTCTTCTTTCTTATGTTTGAGCTTATTGCAAGACGCTATGAGCGGCGTTCTATTATATCTATACATAGCCTTTGAACTTGTGTTTTTTCTTCTTTCTTTTTGTGATCTCCAGTGTACCAGATTTGTCGGTTTACTGTTATTTTTTTTGTTCCTTCTCGTCGCACCCTGCTTGGGGATTGGAAATGGCCTGCAGTGTAAATGAATAGAAACCAAATATAAAAAAAGAATTTAAATACTTCCCGACGCCATAGGGTCTTGATCTGCTTACAAATGCATTTAAATACTCTTTTCCCAGAACCATAACAGAATGAAACAGCCTACCTCATCGCAGATTTATATCTGACAATGTTTTGTAGTCGATCGAGCGTTTGTTTCATGTGCAACTCTTTGCATGGTGTTTTAATTTTCCTCTTGCCCACTACTTCCACTCCTCCCAACTTTGTTGTGAGCTATTACATTACAATTTTCCCCTGTTCCGCTCTCCCATTTTACGGATTACCTGGTGTTGCGTTTTTAATATAATATAACAATCTGAGGTTAAACGGACAAAGAGGCCCCTGCTGTGCACACCTGCGGAAACAAAGTAAGTACCTTATCAGTATTATTCAGAAGTTTGACTTTTTCCTGTGGTAATCGTGAAAAAAAAAAAGAAATGTGTTTTTTTATGTGTGTGCTCGCCCAAAAGCGAGCACATGCATTCTTTTAACGTTCTCTGTTGCGCTTATTGCAAGACGCTGTCAGCGGCGTTGTATTATCTATACAGCCTTTGAACTTGCGTTTTCTCTTCTTTTTTTGTATCTCTGTACTTTGTATTCAAGTATATCAATCCACAAGTGCTAGCTGGGTCATTTATTTTAACCAGGCGAGTGGGATGTTCCGAGGAACATTCTAGGCGCGTCTCATCGATGTAGCTAATCTAATAAGAAAGTTACGAATAAAAAGTTTACGTGTAAGGCTTCATTCTGTGGTGTTGTGATTTGGCATATGCTCGTATAAAGAAAACTACGATAGTTAGAAGGTTCTAATTCGCAGCGAATGATCGCGCTCTGAATTTAGACGCACTGTTAAATTTTCATCGCTCCAGCTCGTCTAGAACTCGTTATACTCGCGAAAACAGGTTTTTGGGAATCTGCTTGGAGATTAAAAACCCCGACCAAGTTCAATCGTTCACCCGTGAATATTCAAGACCGCTGGAGTGCATTCATCGATTGTGGTCGTGAAAACAACATCATATGAAAATGTGTGTGCAGTGAAACCGTGTCAGCTCATCTCAAGTTTCGCGAAATAAACGACGTTTGAAAGTTTTCGGATCGAAGCCAGCCATTCGCATTCCTCACTTTAGGCACCGATCCTTTCTTCGATCTCGCTTCATTAATACTCGTCGTATCTCGTCACCGCTAGCACCGATGTGTTCCTTGGTCTTTCTAGACTCTACGGACACCACTTTGAACGTGTGTAATAAAAGGTTTCGCGATGCTACGACGCTCTTGCCGTGGGCATGGTCATGGCGGCCAATTGTACTTTCCGAACATGTGTTCGGACCTCCGAGACTGAATTTTCGTTTCCGAGCCGCGATGTTGGTGTCAAACGTGAGCACGCGTTCCGTAGAAGACCCGACGACTGTAGTTTGCCTCGGATCGAGTCGATAGTTTAATCTACGAGCACTGATGCGACTTCCCGCACGAAAGCAGTCATTTTCAGGTTCGATATTGCTCACCGCTTCACCATTTGCTACCACAATTTGCTTTTTTGTTCTGAAGCGCTCCCTCGGGTAAAAGGAACGTTCGCTATGCGCGCGAGATTATTTTAATTCATTCATCTCGTGCGGCGCGCGCTCGGCGGAGCCGCTAGTCGTTTGAAGGCTCACCAGAGCGCGAGCAAGACTTCAAAGAGCTGCCGCTCGCTCGTAATTAGAAAACCATTATAGGTACGTACAACTATCAACTTGTTGGGAAGGGACAAATACACATATGTGCTGCAAGAGGGCCTCCACACAACCCTACAGAGCTTTTTGCAGACATGCCCCTACAGTACAACTGGCCCGACACTTTCTATTTTGTCCCCTTCTGCACTTTCTGGCGCAAGATGAGCTAAAGTGAAGCACGAGTAACCTTCTAGGTTGCTATCTGTTCAGTTTGAACCCTCAAGCTACGTCCCTCTTCCCTCGACGGCCAAAATTTGAACGCAGGCATGGTTACTGCGGAATACAAAAAGTCTGCCTTTTGTCTCCGAGGGACGTTCATTCTGTGTTATGGTCGTCTTTTCCAGAGACGGTGAGGACAAATACACATCTGTGCTGCAAGAGGGCCTCCACACAACCCTACGGAGCTTTTTGTAGACATGCCCCTACAGTACAACTGGCCCCACACTTTCTATTCTGTCCCCTTCTGCACTTTCTGGCGCAAGATGAGCTAAACTGAAGCACGAGTAACCTTCTAGCTTGCTACCTGTTCAGTTTGAACCCTCAAGCTACGTCCCTTTTCCCTTGACGGCCAAAATTTGAACGCAGGCGTTGTTTCTGTCTGAAAGCAAAAGTCTGCCATTTGTCTCCGAGGGACGTCCATTCTGTGTTACGGTGGTCACTTTGCACAGCCAGGATAACGCTGTCTGCAGTCGTGCTGGGACGTCCTTGCTGCGGCTTGGCCGACACATTTGTTTTCTCGGCTTCCGTACTTTCCCACGTCGGCTTGTTTCAAGTCCAGCTACAGCATTCTTGTCGAATGGTACCTGTGAATTCTGAAGGCTTGATGTCGACCTGTATTCTCTGCACAGCCCCCTACGGGGTTCTGCAGAAAGCCCTGTCTTAGTAAATCACGTAGGTTTTCAATGAAGTGTGTCTCCACATCTTACGGGGGT